ACGGAGAAACAGTAAAAGCTGCGAGACCAACAGAGCGGTAGCTGAGAGTGGCACTAATGCCTTAAATTTTGATCACATCTTTCAAGTTATGCTAAGAGTCTCATGCAAAGGGGGAGAACTGTTAAAAAAGAAAAAACAGGAACAAAATGGTGTCACTTGTGCTAAGTCCCACATCAATAAATCAAGACTTAATTGCACTTTCAGTCTCTCACAGGAATGTGACCTTTAACTAGTCAATCTGGAATTACCTGGTCGGCATGAGTGAGTAATCTGCCTCATAGATCCCCACACTACTCTTCCCCAAAGGAAGGTGATCTTGCCCGAATCTGCTCTTTGCTAGAAACTTCCTTTATTCCGTCCCTTCTGCCCATAACAGCCTTCCACTTTGCATAGCTCCTTGGACCTCCCTTCTATTTGCTAGCTGGGATGCTGCTCAATTCATGAATTGTTGGATAGAGCCAATTCGATCTTCAAATTTACTCAGTTGGCTTTTGCTTTAAACACCTTAGCATCATCATCCTCTGAAAATAATGCTAATTTTGTCTTTTTTCTATTACTATATTTCTTTCTTTCTCTTATCTGGGGGACAAAGAGATTAATTAGAACACTAAGGTTCCTTAGAGGATGTAAGACTTCGGTGAATCTTGCAGGAATAGCAGCAATTGGACTGGCTAAGAGGGGAGGATGACAGAAATATAGCCACGCATTGCTCAATGATGGGGATACATTCTGAGAAATGTGTTAGGCAGTTTCATCATTGAGCGTACTTACACAATTCATCATAGAGTGTACTCACACAAACCTAGATGGTATAGACTACTACACACCTAGGCTATATGGTACTAATCTTACGGGACCACCCTCCTATATGCCCTCCGTCCTTGACCCAAACGCTGTTATGCTGTGCATGTCTCTAGATAAAATTGAGCTGTCCTACTCCCAACTAACGGAAGTCAGTTGATAGAACCGCTGGTGGCACCTGGAACTCTACATATTACATCACAGAAAAACTCAGACTAGTAGTGTCTTGGAACATGTTTTGTTCATAGTAAGTGTGAAAATAAAGGAAAACCTCTTTTAAAATGGAGTCATGAAACCCTGAAGGGGGACCTCTCACGTACATACCACTCACTGCTGCCTGCCTAACTGGCAGGAAGATGGACGATAAGAATTATTTTAACCAGGCCTATTTGTATAAAATTCTCTCAGTCCCAACTTCTTATCCGTGATGATAAGAATGTAACTTTTCTGCTGGTGCAACGGAGGACATCTTCACCTAGGAATTTCATCTCCTGCTTTTAAGAAAAGGAAGGAAGATCCGTCCCTGCCGCAGCGACAACGCATTGTCACAACCTTACACTCTTGTTCTTCTCCAATGAACTTTTATTCTAAATAACCCTCCTTAATTTCCTCCTAACACCTAATAAAAACTAACTTTCCCCTTGTCTCTTCCAACTTGCCTATGGTTCACCATAGTTTGCACGTCCAGAATTGCAATTCCTCGGCTATTCCCAAATAAACTCATTTTTTGAGCTTGCCCCCCAGACAGCTTCATTTAGGTTGACATAACAGCTAAAGATAGTTTTAGTCTCTATTAACATCACAACCAAATACTTAAATCACAACCAAGTACTTAAAAGCCTGACATAATTGTAGACTCATAAGTGAAATGTCACATTATCATTTTCAATAAATCAGCATCAATTTAACATTTCGGAGAGCCCCCCAAATTCTCAGCACTCAAATCCAAGACAAGAAAGATAAAAAACAGTACGACTGCATTCTGGTTATCCTATGAATTAAAGTGGAGTGAGTGTGAGTGAGTGTGTGTGTGTGTGTGTGTGTGTGTGTTTTAAAGCCTTTTGTTCACCAGCTTCTTTCCCTATCTTACACTGTACTCCCTAAGGACTGTGTATATCATTTAACTTTCTCCATTGAACGATAAACTTCAGAAGGTCTGGCCATTTTGGTTCTACGGGGTTTCTATCTCTTGCGCTTTCCCAGATCATACCATGTATTTAATATGCATTGACCCACCTGTGCAGAAAAGGGACCGTCTAGTCTCATGCTTAAATCAGTACTATGTCACTATCCATCGATCAATAAGTTGTGCATTCTCGGTGACAACTGAATGTTTTCTCTTTCAGCTGAAGTTTAAAGGAGGAGGGGAGTCGACTCCAAAACTGCACACTGGTGTAGCCCCAAACGGAAATACAGCGAAAGCTCGAGCGACCTCTCCCAGCGCAAACGAGTCCACCCCAGCTTCAGGAAACGAAGGAGTATGTGGGGTTGCGGATGACTGGCTTTGGGGCTCATTCTTTTCACTACAGCGCCCCAGGAGCGGAAGGCAAGCCCAGGCTCCAGGGACCACGCAGTCCCGCTGGGGCTGAGAGCGTCTCCCCCAGGGTGTCCCGGACGCCCGGCAGGAAAGAGCGCCGCCGGGCCGCCGACACCTGAGCGCGCGCCCGGTGGGGCGGGCCGGGAGCCCTCTCTCCCTTCCGCCTGCGACGCGCGTTGTCGGTCGAGCCGGTGTATGTGCGGTAATAACATGTCTGCCCCGCTTCCCGCCATCATCCCCGCCGCCCGGAAGGCCACTGCTGCGGTGAGTGGCGGCAGCCGGGGCTCGGAGGGGACCCTCGGCCCGCTGCTCACCACTGCCCTTCGCGCAGGGTTGGCGTCGCTGACCGCCTGGCGGCCGGTGGGTGGGTTCCCTCCGCCGGGTCCGGGGTGGGCTGGGTGGGTGGGGTGGGGTGGGGTGGTCGGTGTCGGGAGGGCGCCGGGGCTGCGGCCGGGCCGGAGGATCAGCGCGCCCGCCCCCGTCAGCCCCGAGCCCTCTGCATTGCGGAGCGAGTCCCCAGCTTGTAGGGACCGGCGTTAGCGGCCAGGCACCCTAACTCGAGGTGGCTCCGTTGCTCGTTTCTCTCTTGTTTGTGGGTGAGGGAAGTCTGAAGTCCTCAAGAAAATGACTTTATTTTCTTACCTTGCACTCGTGTCCTGAATTAAAGAAGTTTGAAGATTGGCAACTTATGACATCACAGGGTGCTGTTTTTTAGAAAACCGTGTACGAGGAGCTCAAATGTCTTTTTAACCCCGGAAGCTCCTTTTTGTGATGGAAAAAGTCTACAGTTTACATGAGACTTGCATGGTTTGACTTGAAACAAACTATTTTTCCTAGAATGTTATTTGCACTTAAGAATGTCTAACTGGGACCTCTTTAAGTGCTAAGGCCGCACATTAATTATCTTCGGAACTACAGTGAGAGAAATTAAGTATTTTTCCCACTGAAGAGAGCTCTATGGAGTTTGATTTGCTGAAGGTAGTGTTCTGAAATTCTGGCATCCAGAATTGACCAACGCTAGTGTGTATCAATTCTGTGTGGGTTTATTTGGGCATTGTTTATTAATTTTTTCTCTTGTAGGTGATTTTCCTTCATGGATTGGGAGATACAGGGCAGGTACCATTATTTTTAATAACAGTAATGAAATGGGGTCATGCAACTCTACTTACATGATCAAAGGTTTAATGTTAATGAACTCTAGGATTGTATGAAAAAAGATTGCTAGTGATATTTCTTACAGTCCAGTAATATGATAGAATCTTTTCTTTTTTAAAAACCTCCAGAATTTCCTCTCATCATCGTGAATTCGTCATTTTTCAACTCCTGTTTCTGGAACGTATTAAAATTGCAAACGCCTCCTTGAGTTGCTGTGGGCATTGGATACCAGAGATGGGTGGAATGTTTGTAGAGAGTGTGCAACTGAGAGCTTTCCGGAGGAGTTAAAATTTCAGGGCAAGTTGAGGAGAACAACTGGTTGATTTTGATAAGAGCAATAATCGCAATGTGAGGTATACGGCATTCTGAATGAAAGCTTAATTATGCCCTTAAGAGAAAAAATCAGTTCAAGGGTCGGGGAGGCAACTCAAAGATTTATTTGGCAGTTTATCAAACACATTTTGTTGTGCTAACTTGAGATGTACAATTTATCTTTCAGTCAGGCTTTTCCTATATTGTGAAGTGTTTGTTTTTAATTTAAATTGTGATTATCTGTTTGAAACTTAGGTAAAACTGTAACAAAATTGCAGAATTAGAGGAAAACTGAAGATAAACAAATTTTGAGTAGGTGGTCAAATAAACTATTAAATAAACTATTAAATCTTCTTTATAAGGGTGTGTTGGGCTAGATTAATTCTTCAAAGTGATTCCTGATATTCTTTTTATGCCCTTTAAGTAGAGGTACATGACAACACGGAAAAGATTGTAGGACTCTTTCTGGCAATGAGGTAGTCCTATGAAAATGATAGACTTATATTTTACTATTTTATTTTCCTGAACAGGTTTAGAGAAGCTCTCTTTTATAATCAAACCCTTCTTGATACTGAGAGCCGGGGAGGAACTTGCTACCCTGTCACTTGCCCAATAAAGAGAGCTTCTAGGCCTGAAGAATCAGTCCAAGAAAAAAAACTTCAGTGTAGAAAGCTTCTCTGTGGGCCCCCATTTTGACATATTCTGTAGACTGAAGTTAAGAGTGAAAATGAACAATGTGAGATTAAAAATACCAAGAGCATCCAGGACATCTTGACCGAGAATTAAGTTTACATACAAAATTAGCTGGCCAGCCCCATGGCCGATTGGTTAAGTTCACGTGCTCCGCTCCGGTGACTCAGGGTTCACCGGTTCCGATCCTGGGCACAGACCTGCACGCTGCTCATCAAGCCATTCTGTGGCAGCATCCCACGTGGAAGAACTAGAATGACTTACAACAATTCAGGCGTGAGGAGGGGAGAAGTCCTAAGGCTCTGACATTCATACCGTGTCCCTGGTTCCATTCTAAGCTAGGAAATGCTAACTCTTATGAGGTTCATGTAGAAGAGTGAGCTTCGGGTCTTTTCTCTCAAAATTCTATGACGAGACTAACCAAAGGCGGGAATTCTAATGAGGGAACTTGGCTGAACTTTAGGCTTTGAACACTGAATCTAGAAGGGTCGCTGAGAGTGTAAGTACATGAAGTGGATTAAGTGACGGAGTGATGGCCATAGTGAAGATTAACTGGGCTCCGAAATAGGAGAGAAATCACTGAACATGAGGCTCAACTTATGTCCTATCTACGGAAAGCCCATTAAGGGAAGATCAATTTTAGAAAATGTTAAAGAACAACCAGGTTTAAATTTAGTACCAATACTGAATACTCATTGATTTTAAAGAAAAATATATATGCATATGCTATAATGCTAGTACCCCATTTTAAATAGAAAAATTACCATACCTGACTCACCTTCTCTTCACTGAAAGAGAAATTACTAATCTTAAAAATGAAACTGTCTAATTGCCATTATATTTACATTTCTCTACATTTTATCGGTGCCAAAACATTTAAAATATATCCTTCTAGAAAATAAATATACTACAGAAGATAAAACTAGTTGAAAACACAACCATGTAACGTTTTAAGGCACTGCATTCCATTAGACAGAACCCAAAGTGAACTGAGTACAAAGACACAATGTGAAGTTTATACGTGAGACTCTTCCCTTCTCTCCGATTTTGGACTCCAGTGTTAATCTACATGAAGTCAGCTCCCTAGCTACACAAAACATAACTTCTCAGGATTTATTTGAATTGTTATAAGCAGGTAATTAAGTAAACTAAAAGAAGTCTAACTGAAAATTCAATGTGCAAGTAAGCCGAGATACACTTGATAAGGATTCCATATGCTAATGGCCTTGGTGCCACGCCAGCTCTTTCCTCTGAAGTTCTCAGATTTCATCAATCTTTGTGGACTGGCAGCTCAGCAGCTCCCTCACCTTCACTGAGCCACAAACACGTCTGGGCCATCTGTGTCCTGAAGACAGGGGAGGACATATCAGCATTTCCCCTTCCCCAGGAATTCAGTTGACATTCTTTAGTAAAATACACAAAAGAACAGATTGCGCTTCATCTATAGGGCAATTTCACATTTCGCAAAGCTGTATGGTGCACAAATCTCATCCATACACATCTGAGGTCGTCAATTCATCATCTCATTATAGCAAGAAAGAACAAACATTCAACAAATATATATTGAGTGCCTAGCATACGAAAGGAAGGACACTGATATGAACCCATTCTTTGCCCTCATATTCTATTAGAAGCCATGTGACATATACGCAAAGGAACTCACACAAGGCCAAATAGGATCACGTGTGTGATACACACCAAGATCTATAGCAGTATAATGAGCAAGAGATCCTACTCCCAAGTAGAATAGCTGGCTAAAATAGTAGAAATGTTATTTCAGCTAAACCTTGAAGAAACTAAAACCGTTTTTGTCTTCTGTTGAAGAAGCAGATAGGAAGAGTTAAACATCTCAAGTAGAAGGAAGGGATTAGGCAAAGCCAAAAACACACACAGTGAGTGTGCAAGGCCGTGAGCAGTCCAGACAGCGACAGCACTGGCTGTCTACTGCACAGCAACTTAAAACAAAGGCAAATGACCAGCCCGGACCAGACCACAGAAGGCTCTGACTTCAAAGCTGGGATTTATCCAGTAGCGTCAGTGGGGAGTCACCAAAACACAGCACCGCTTAAGGAAGGTTAATTTTTCAGTACACAGGACATAGTATAGGTCGAGAAAGCCTCGAGACAGAAAAAGTACATTCTAATAGTTTAACTGATAAAGCCCAGAACTAGAATGATGTCAGTAAGCGGGAGTGCAAGGTGATTTAATAAGTATCTTAAAGTGATCTAGAAAAGTATCTTATAGTGATCTACAGAAGATGAAACAGAAATGAGGAAATTTATGCAAATATAAATTAAAAGGAAAAATCTTCATCAGAAAGCTTATTCGAACAAGTACCTTGTAACCAACGGAGACAGGGGATGGGGTCTTTCTTAAGAAGAATTCAAAAATCACCCAATTGGGACGGACAGTTTAAGGGCTCATTCTTCTGGAGACAGATTTCGTTTACTCATTCAACAAACACTTATTGCAAGCCTACTGTGTACCAGAAAGCATCGTTAATTCCCTCAAGAACAAAGCAAACAACAGAACAAGCAGGGGATTCACTGTTGGCCCTTAAGAAAGGCATCATCTCTGTCCTCTCTGAAAGAACTGGGACTTGTTCCACTGGAGAAAGAAAATGAGCCTCGAATTTCTTCCCATAGTCAGGTTTCAAGACTCACAAGACATAGCAGGTGTTCAGACTACAATAATGAGATATGTTATTCCCAAATCTTAAAGCACATGCTGCCTATGCAAATTCAACAACATCCAACTCCACAAAGATTTTCAAATATGCAATTCCACTTAGACTATCAACTCTTATCCAAATTCTCAACTAGCTGTTCCTTGACTAAAAAGTTACCTGTAACTTGATCTTCAGTGTTACCCATAAAAAATTATTAGCCCAGCAGGAAACTCCCAAAAGAAAGTCCCCGCTCTGACTGAAACAGTCTCTGCTGTGGTTTAAAAAGAAGAAAAAAAAAACACACTTGCAAGAAAGAAATCGAAACACTCCAATACTCTTTAAGAACAAGAACAAAACAAATCAATAGCAGCCCTCTGATGACACCTGGTGGCCGCTTCTCACAGGAAGTTTCTTTCAGCATTTTAAAGAAATTATTCCAGGAAACGTTAACAGTTCTCAACCACTTCACATGCTATCTTGACTATGGGCAGCACACATGAAGTCTCTCCCCTCATTTCCCTCCTTTTTGTTCCAGTTTTCACTTATTTTGTTCCAGTCTTCACTTCTCTTTTCATCTCTTCTCTCTTTTCTAACCAGTAGACATTAAGGCAGCTTGAGCTTGCTTTCTGTCTCTTTCTCACACCCTCTCTCACTCACTCACACACACACACACACACACACACTCACACTCACAGACATCCTCTCTCACTGGTACAAGGCCACCCACACAGGAAACCACCTTCTCCCTGCCTCCGTCCCACGCCATCTCACCCTTCACCCCTCCTAGACTTACCCAAATTAGTGGTGCAAGCAGTGTGCAGTTAGCACGTGTTGGCACCAGGCCCATGGTAAAGTCACAACAGGGGATAGTGTGCAGCATGGCTGGCGTGCACACACGTGCATTTATAAAAGCTCCCAATGCTCTTTTGCCCTTTCCCTTTGAGGAGGTCAAAAAAGGACGAACTCCAGAAGTTGTGGAGATCCTACAGCACAGTCTCCTCCTGGAAGGGCAAGGTAGGACACGTAAGACTTCCTACAAGCCTATTGCGAGCTGAGCAAGACAGGAATAAACGGAAATTAGCGGACTGCTCAGATCTCTTTCTTAATCTACCATTTTCAATTGGACCTTTTATCGAAAGTATATGTCTTATACGATTACCTGATTTAATAAAGTACCACCAAGTCCATATATAGTCTGTTCAGGAGAAAACTGTAGTATTCGTTGTCGTTACAAAACACCATGTGCATAACCTAAGGGGAACCAAAAGGAGCTGTGCTTTATGTAATCCTCCTCTCACCACACTCTCCCATCAGAAACATCACTTTGTAACAGAGACCACAAAATAAAGTATCTGATCCTACAAAGAAAAAAATCACTCTTCTATGAAAATGCTAACAGTCACAAGTTGAATAACTTCTTCCATGACAAAAGAGTAAAATTTAACACCCTAAAAACCATTTATTGGTAACATCAGAAGCAATTTTACCACAAATGGATGTGTAACATAGTTGTTTATTCACAATGGGATCAGCTCCTGAACACTCGGGTCCAGCCAAACCCACCTCCATCAACGTGCCAGGGACAGGCTGCATTGCATTCCTAAGGGTAAGTCTGTTAACTCTACCTTCCCCCACTAGGAAAATGCCTGTGGCGATTCAGAATGAGTCCACAAATTCTCTGACACTCCCTTCAAAAGGTGGAGCCTAATTCCCTCCCCTTGGTGTGGGCTGGCCTTGGTGACCAAGTGCTTGCAAGGGACAGAAAACAGTGGCAGTGAGGGTTTTCGGCTCTGGAGACACAGTCACAGAGGTGCCGGTATCCTGCTTGCCCCCTCTCTTGATCACTCCGCCCAAGGAAGTGGGGGACCTGTCGCAAGAACACTTCTGCAGCCTGTGCACATGGAGGCCCAGGGGGCAAGGAACCGAAGCCTCCTACCAAGAGCCAAAGAGGAACTGGGGCCTCCTGCCAACAGCCATGGGAGTGAGCTGCCTGGAGAGCAGCTCCTCCAGCCCCAGGCAAGCCTTCAGATGATTGCAGCCCCTACAAAATCCTGACTGCAGCCACGACCAACTGGGTAATGAGCCTACTCCACACCCTGACCCACAGAAACTGAGAGAATAATAAATGCTTATTTGCTTTAAGCCACTAAGTTCTGACATAATTTGTTACACATCGAGTAGATAACTAATATAATGCCCTCTCTCTCCTTTGCACCTGAGCAAGAGTAGATAGAGCTCAAGTTCACCCCTCGTTTGTATATATTTTACATAGATTTCCTTTCCTATACCCTCCAACCTTTAACAAGAATGTTCTATACTATCACAATAGTATTAAGGTACACGGGAGGAGGTCCACGAAGTATACTGGTTGAAGAGAAGAATTCCCATCAAACTTCTGAAAGATTTCAAAACTTAATAAACTGACATTTACATTTATGCCTCTCCCACTACCAAAACCAGACTTGACACGGCTTACAATGAAAAACTGGGATACTAAAATCAAGAATTATTAAAGAGCTAACTAACAAAGACATGAGGTAGAGAGTTTCAAATTTAGATTTGTATGGAATAAAAGAAATGTCTTCATGTTTCCTGAAAAACCTCATTTTGGATGAAGGCATTCATTCTTATTGGCCCCTAGAATCATTTATAGCAAACAACTTGCCTCAAAGATAACAGTAGCCATGAGTTCCTGTCCAGCTAAGCTCAGAAATGTTAGCAACCTCTATTTCTACTCTTCCCCAAACCTGATGGGGCAGCCCATGCAGTAAACACCTATACAGCCACATGCCACTGGGGCTGAATGAGTCACAATCCTTTTGGCCACACAGAATACAAAACTTCCTCACCCTCACCTAGCAGGAGGCATTCAAACTTCGGAGATGTAGGGGCTCTGGTCACAGGACTCACATCTGATTAAGTTCCACCTCCAAAGCATCTCACATGCCATGTCTAGCCTACTTCTAAAAATAACCTTCCCCAGCCAGAGTCCAAGGACAAACCCAAGACAAGCTAGAACTATGTGCTCTTAAGCCCAAATGGTCAGAGTAAATAAAACTATCGACAGAGAGAAAAAAATTCGCACTCAAGTCAGAAGAGAATACTGTTCCTATTCCAGGGGATACCCATGTTCTGTTTCAAATACCTAATTTGATTCTGCCTGCAAGTTAAAAATTAGAATATTTGCTTAGTGCTTAAGTTAGAGCTAAAACAATCATTAAAAAGCCATACTAATAGGGATCAAGCCATGGTGACTGTAACAGAATAAACAGACCTCACCCCTTTCATTATCAAAGAGTCTCCCCTTCCCAACACTACTCGTGAGGATGTAGTAACAGCAACATAACGTGACAAGTCATGGGACAAAAATAAACTGTAACATTAGCCCAGTTTTCTTACTTGGCTGTTTCTTTTATTAAAATGTTCCTACACTTCAAGTACTATTTTCCAAATACATTAAATTGATCCAGTAATAAAGTCAATTTTATGGCGATCTTAACCACCTCTGACAAAGCTATCTTGTGTAGTAGGAAAGATTTTACACAAAAAGTTAAAATCCAATATATCTCCTTTCAAAATGTATTTTTAAAATTAATGCTTTGTTAATATTTCCATCTAATTGTTTTGATTTTTCTCAAAAGGAAGAAAATTCTTATTGGAACAGGAAAACAGCATAAAAAAAGGAAAATTCTATGAGTAAAACAGAAAATGAAAAATTTCAATGCCATTAAAAGCAGACACACACGATCATTCGTGTCGTATGCCATTTGAAAAGGTTGTTTTATCATCAATGTAACTAATCACAATGAAACCATCTCTTACAACTAAAGACATTATAACGAATTTTCTTCACAGCTACAGAGAGACGGGATTTGCTGTTTCACATCAAATAGAACAGGCTACATAAATTCTTCTTCCTATTTATTGTAAAATATAATTTCATCTATAAAATCAGTCATGAAATATTAAAACAAACAACAGACTTTATATCCTTTTCTTAATTTAGTTTGAACGGTCTATTCGCTCAAAAAGGGGGGAGGTTTGCAATCACACACATCTCTAGACTCTTTCACCATCTCAGCAGGTTCTCTCTATAAACGTTATGCCATTCATTCGAGAATGCTATCATTTTTCTGTAACTTTCCTGATCCCCTTTTCCTTAGTTTTCACCTAGCAAAACTGCATTTCCATTTTCAAGTTTTCCCTCTAAATTCTCCTTCTGAATTCCATTTTGCTGCTTTTCACTAAAGCTCTGTCAGTGTCTCTCACATCTCACTGTCAATTAATTGTTCTAAGTGAGAAAAGGGCAAAAAATCTCCAAAGTTTAAACGATTGTTCTTTGACTATTTTAACATACTCCTGTTTTAACTGATCTAACACAAATTACAAAATTAACTCATCTGAAGTTCTATCACTTTTCCTTTATTTACCTTGCCTGCTTTTACTATCCTGCCTGCTGGTATAGGGTGTTAATGATTCAAATCATAAAAAATGGGTAAAGGAAGTCAGGAGCGAAAACAGGACTATATATGAAGTTAGACTCTTCAAAAGGAAAACCAAAAAGACTAAGTTTCAATGTGCTCACTGTCTATAGTGTATAAGACTCATCTACAAAGTTCTGGAACACCTGAAATAAGCAACTTGCTTTTCAACTTTAAACACAGATGTTTTAGAACAAATTTAAAGTATTAATTTATACACCAAGGGACAAACTTACCAAAATGACGGAAGAAGTTAACATTTAAATTATATATAAATCCAATGGTTTAGGCAAATTCTAGAACTTTAAAACCATTTGAGAGGGGAGAGAAGCAGCACGTGGGTACTTCCTCAGCTACCAAGGATCGCCAGGGCACCCCTCCAACAAAGTACTCTTTCCTGCTGACACTGATAGGAAATGTCCCCAGGACAACATCTTACATACTCTCAAGTGAACAAAAAGATATGGGCAAATAAAAGGAGAAGAAGAGGAAAATGCGAAAAACTTCCCTACTGGAATTCTTTCCTCAATACCTGAAATTTAAGTCACTAATCTAACAACGCTTCCCCGGGGCCGGTCAAGCCTCATTATCTTCTTCACCCTCGGATCACGGGATTATCAAATTCTTTCTCTACCACAAGTATCAGTATTTTCCAAGATTTTTGTATCTTAATGTCACGGTCATTAGCACTTCCTTAGGCCCATTCCTCACTAACTTTAGAAGCACATCCTGCTTAACACTGTTCAAAAATTATTTAAATACACTGTTTTCGTTGTCCCTCAGTCACAAACAAATGTAGATATTAATCAAACAGAATACTAATCTGTGATAGGAAAAAGCTGTAACCAAAGCCCTGTTAGACACAGTACGTCCGCTAGTTCCTGTGACTGCATCTATTTCTATTAGAATTTTATGGATTAAGCACTGAAGATCCTAAAAAATAATATTCATTATGTGAACAGCATTTCCCAGGTATGATAGAAATATCACTAGTGGCGTTTAAAATAAAGTTATCTACCACATGTTGGGATTTTTAAATAAGTATGTATTATTCAAATAGATATTAGGAAAAAATAACACACCAACCTATGACTCCACATGTATTACTTCTTATGACAATGCTAAGTTTAAAAAGAAAAAAGTGAGAAAGGGGCCGGCCCTGTGGTGTAGTGGTTAAGTTCGGCACACTCCACTTCAGTGGCCCAGGTTGGTGGGTTCGGGTCCCAGGTGCAGACCTACACCACTCATCGGCCATGCTGTGGCAGCATCCCACATGCAAAATAGAGGAAGACTGGCACAGATGTTAGCTCAGGGAGAATCTTCCTCAAGCAAAAAAAGGAAGCTTGGCAACAGACGTTACCAAACAAACAGAACAACAAACAAAAAACAGAGTGAGATAAAATGCTGTGGTATAAAACACAGCAAAAACAATGAAGGAGTAGGGAAATGACTTAAGTTTGGAAATGCCACATCATACATACCTCATACATTTGCTAATTTTTCAATTATGTAAATTCTAGGAAATCAATAAAAACTAACAATTCTTAGCCCTAAGATCATTATTAAACGAGAGTGCTCTGAAGATCAGTCTCTCCTCCACTGCTGGCAACCTTCACAGTTGGCATCACAAATCCTCATTCACCAGTTTTCACATGAGTAGTAGCCTCCTTCAGATTACACCTCTAAGAAAGTACTGCAGCCTAATAAAACGTCCCAACTCTGTCACATCACACGTCTACATTCTGAGGAACAGATAACAGAATTATACACGTGGAGAAGGAAAACTGCAGAATACTAATTTTCTACATACTCAGAACCTGCCTTTCCTTTGAGATTTGGATACAGTGGCTAGAATCCATCTAACAAGAAGATAATGCCCTAATACCATACTGGTATAAAACGTGCACTTACAACTGGCCAAAGCACAACAGAAGTCTCTCTCTCGCTCTGGTAAACTTCCACGGCAGGTGTTCCTGGTCAGCAGGCGGTCTGTTGCAGGCCGACTCAGGGATCCTGGCTCCTTCCATCTTGCAGCTCTGCCCTGGAGCTTCCTCGTTCCCTGCATTCAGCTGACTGAAGAAAGCAAGCCTGGAAGCAGCAGACTCTTGATGAAGTATCATCGAGACGTGCTCTGAGACAATTCTCCATGTCCCAACCAGCTCTGCTTCCATCTGCTGACCTTTGACTTTCAGTATCTGGTCAGACATAACTAACAGTAGTCTTGCAATCTTGACTCAAAAGCAGTGTTGGGACCCAGGGCAGACTGCCCC